CAGCACGGCGATAACAATAGCATCGTGCAACTGTTGCGCTACTCCTCTTTTCTCCATCTGATTTTTTTCCCCCCTCCCCCCCCCCCTCCCTTCTGGTTTTCAACCGCCATTGTCTTAGCGAAGTGAAACGAAGGACAGGCCAACTGACACATTTCTCTTGAAATTTATTGCCGTTGTTGTTGTTCTTTTTTTAATTGTTTGTGATTGCTGAAAATTTCATTATTATTATTATTATTATTATTATTTTTTATTATTGAAGGGGGAAAAACAAAGCGATACGAACAGAGAAAATAGGATTAGGGAGAAATTGTGCGAGCCATGTTTCGTCGTTCCTGCCGCCGATTTGGGCATCAGCTGATTAAAGAACCAATGGGGCATGAGGAAAACACTTTTGCACGTGGACAACGGACCATGCAGAATTCCCTGAATCACGTGTATGCATTGTGTGCATTTTGCGGTCTGGGATGCCTTTGCGCAGCGTATTCGCTTACGTCGGCAACAAGGCGTACTTACATTTGCGTGAACTCCAAGGGGGAATTTCAGAAGGACACAATGCCGATTAGATGGTGGAACTATTGAGCAAGGAAACTGTAGGTGATGGATGAAGAGGAAGGTTTTTGCGTGGTGTGGGAGTTTTTTTTTTTTTTTTTTTGTATGTGTCTGTGCACATGCCGCCTCTATTCATCTATCGAGCGGCCTTTCTCAAATTTAGCAATGGAAACAGACAGGAACATTTTTCTGAATACACTTGGGGTGTTACACATGAAACAATCGTTCATATATATATGTGTGTATGTGTATGTCTGTTTTTTTAATATTTATTTGGTTTATGTTGCTGCCGCATACGTAACTTTGGGGCATGTGTAGTCACATCTGTACGATATGATGTATCATATACATGCGCCCTTGTATTACGACGTTACGGTTTGCTTAAGTTCTCTTTATGATGTTTTTGCCGTTGTCTTTTTTTTTTTTTTTTTCTCCGAATATGCCTGGAACTGTCTCTCTTTCTCTCTGCACGATGCTTCTGTGCCCACGGTTTTGTAATAGTAGGCGGGTGACCATGCCCCCTCGCCCAGTAAAGCCGACCGGAAAGAAAGCCGGTAAGTCGGTCCGCATCCGACACGTTGCACCGCGCGAATTGTATATCCGGGCTTGTGCGGAGTTAGGCCTGGCTCCGAATAGCGGCCTGATTGATCTTCTTTCCATGTATCAGGAATCTGCCAGCGTCGAGTTCATTGATGTCAGCCGTAACTATTTGGGAGACAAAGGGGTTATTCCCCTACTGGCTGTTGTGGATAGATGCAACAATCTGCGGGAGATCATTCTCAGCGAAAACGGCTTACGCAACAATGCCATTGCTGCGCTATGCAACTCGGCCGTGAGGCACCCCTCTCTTCGACGTATCGACGTCTCCGATAACTATATAAGTGAGGGTGCTGCCGCCCACCTTCAGCGGCTTCTGGAAGACAATCCCCGAGTCTGTGAGCTCGGGATAGACAACACCAAAATCGATGTAGAATGGCGATTAAAACTGCGTGACCTTCTCCGAGCAAATGCTACCGCCGCCGCTGCCGCCGCCGCCGCCGCTGATGTAAGCCAGCAAGATGTGAAGATTGGACCCAACTGAACCAAGGGGAAAACGGAAGAAAAGAAAAAAAAAGAACATACACATTTTTTTTTTTACGTGTTTATTTTTGTGTGTTTGCACAGGTGAAAAGTCATTGAGTCTCATCCTTTTTTTTTCTTTTTTCCCTTGTGTTTTCATGTCGTGTGCATCTTTCTGTGATTTGTGGACTATATATGTATATGTATTTTTCTGGCCCTGCCTCACGTGCGTTCCAAGTTGATGTTTTCACCGAAGAGGGTGAAGTTGGATAGGCCGATAGCGGCGGCACACAGTAATATATTTGCTTTACTTCTTCGCGTCAATGAGGAGCGCCGTATTTTTGCGACACTTCGGGTTGCTGGTGGGTGGGTGAGAGATGCCCTGCTTGGCCTTCACTCACAGGACATTGACATTGCCATTGAATCTTCCGATTTGAGGCATGTTTCCGGTGAGCTTTTTGCTCGTGAGGTCTCGGCATATCAGGAGGCGATGGGCATGGCTGCAAGAACAGTGAGTGTCATTCGAGTCAATCCAGAGTTGTCCAAGCATATTGAGACAGCGACAGTATGTGTGTGTGACACTCCCATTGAGTTTTGTGCATTGCGTCATGATGAATACACGAGGTCAAATTCACGTATTCCAGAGGTTCGACCTGCCACCCCGCTAGAAGACGCCTTGCGTCGTGATTTTACCATCAATGCACTTTTCTACAACTTGCATACAATGGAGGTGGAGGACTATACGTCGGGTCTAGAGGATTTGCAGCGACGTGTTCTACGCTGCCCATTAGAACCGAGGGAGACATTTACAGACGATCCGTTACGTTTATTGCGCGGAATTCGTTTTGTGGGCCAATTGGGGGAACTGGGTTTCTCCCTTGATGACTCTATCATGCGTTGTGTAAACAAGGATCTTCTTGAGAAGATGACGGTGAAGGTGTCACGGGAACGTATTGGGAAGGAGCTAGTAAAGATGTTGTCAGGTCCATCTCCTGAAAAGTGTGTTGAAATTCTTTTAGAACTTGGTGTTTTACAGCACGTTTTGCTGATAGAGTTTTACATGAAGAATGGCAAGAAAGGCAAAAACACCGGGGAGGTAGAGAGAATGGATTATTTGTTTTCCGGTATCGATACAAATGATGACACCCTCAAGTGCATCGTGGCCCTCAACCGCACACTGACGCCACTATTTTCGAAAACTGACTCTCCATTGCTATTGTCGTCACCATCAGACAAGTTGGTGGCTGTGCTTTTTATGCTGTGCTTGCCATTCTATCACAGCAGTCCTCGTGAGCAACTGACAGAACGCCTCTACGCGTTGTGTCTGAACGGGTTGAAGTTGCCACTTGCCTCTTATAATGTCTTACGGCGCATGGTTGAATGTTACAAAACTCTTACCCGGCATCGGCTGGATTTGTGTGGCATCACCGATCTGGGAGTAACGGATGCGGCGAAGCTCGCTGTGTTCGAGGGGTTGGGCGAATTGAACGAAAAGAAAATGATTCCGGCTGCGTTGAAAATTGTTCTTTCGTCCTATCTGCTTCTTGAGCACCGAAGGGAACTTTTGGAATCTGCCGAAGTGAATGCAGTGGCAAGCATCATTAGCGAAATGTGGTCCGTCTTGGAACGGGAGCCGGGATTACTTGATTCCATGACTCGTCCGCTACCACTAAAAGGCGACGAGCTCTCCAAGCTGATTCCTCTTGATCTTCCACAAATTGGGCCTGCCCTGTTGGCGCTTCGAAAGTATGCGATGTTTCATCCACAAGCGTCTCGGGAAGATATGATCTTGTGGCTGAGGGAGGAGAAGAAGTCGCTGTGATATTGTGCGAACGTGATTTTAGGAGCACAACCGTATAAAACGGCTGGGAACACCACCAACAACGGGAGATCTCATTTTTTTTTTTTTTTTAAACGTGGGAGAGACGCTCCTACGTCGCATTTACTTTTTTTTTTTTTACCATAATAATAAGAATTCATAATCAATTATTTTTAGTATTCATCTTTTTTTTTTTTTTTTTCTCTTGTGTGTATGTGTAAATAACGTGAAGGGTGGACCCATGAGTGGCATCGCTTTTACGTCATCCACAGAGCTCTGTTTGGGCCACGGTAAGCAGCCTGGATACGCTCGGGTATTGGCTTGTCGCCGCTACGGTCCGGTAAAGGGAAAGGAAGACGAAGTCGCCGCGGTATTTCTGGACGAAAAGAAGAATAAGCTTCGTGTGTGGCGTGAGCGAAAAGGAATTACAACACTTCGAGGAGCGGGAAAGTACACGACCCGTATTATTGACACGGCGACTGATGGTCTTTTTGCCGCGTTATTTTTCCATCATGATAAAGGAAGACGCTTGGGTCTAGCCATTGTGCAGCTCAGCTCGTCCAGCGCGGCACGCCTAGCCGGGGATCCTGTGGATTGTAGCGAAAAACTGGATGCCGTTCTCGCGGACTTGCTGTCACGCGAAAAAAAAGGTAAGGAAACAACTGCGCAATTGCAGATTTGCTGCTCAGGCTTGAAACAGACGGATTCAGGGCTGGTGGTGAGTCTCCTGGTCTCCACACGCACTGGGGAAGTATACATTGTGATTGGGTCCGTTTGGGAAAACAAATGGAGGTGTTTCGGGTTAGATGCTGCATTTGGAATGCCTGCCTCCTTGTGTATTCAAAGTGATCGCGTTGTTTCTGTTCTGAGCTGTGCGGTAGGTCCACCAATCGACCACGCGATTGCGGTAACGTCCCCAACAATAGAGTTGGCATTGTCAGTCTTTGAGGCAATAAATGTGGTCTCCGACGACAACGAAAGGAAGAGCTACGTGTCATCACGACCAGCAGGATTACAATACTGCGTTATGCTCCATGAGGCTATTTTTTCTTTAGATGACGGCGACCCAACGATTCGTGTTTGTTATCAAAGTCAACTTTTCCCTCTGCCTGAAGGAGAGGGAGGCGTATGTGTTACCCCTCTCTGTCGCATATACGCTGATAGCGAGCTGCAGCGCTACGCCGTTGTTGTCTCTCTAGCCTCGCAGAGTTACTTGGTGCACTTGAGGCGATCTCCGTTTAATATG